CATGTGGATAGGTGCAAGGTTGACTTTCTCTTTGACACCAGGGCTACCTTCTCAGTCCTGACAGAATTCTGGGGGCAAACAGTGCCGTCCACCTCTCCTATTGTCAGGGTAGGAGGAAAGACCATCTATCCAAGAAAGACTCCCCTATTACTCTGTTCCATAGACAACTTCCCATTCTTTCAGACGTTTCTAGTTATGCCCCAATGTCCATTTCCTTTGCTCGGCCGAGATATTCTCTCTAAATGCCCTGGCCCAATGTCTCTCCTTGCCACACTTGAACAACAACATCAACAACAATCAACATCCTGGCTCCTGGCATCAGTCAGGCCCCAGAATTGGCCTGTTCATTTTTTCTGGCCCTTTTGGCAGAAGACTGGCCATTCTGCTCTCCACTTGTAAGGCTGACATGAAATACCATACTAACCTGGTTGACCCGATTGTATGGGATACCCACACCCCCTCCACCATTTCCTGCCCACCAGTTAACGTTCATCTCAAAGATCCTAACACCTTCCCCAATCAGGTTCAATACCCCCTGTCCACAAAAGCTCTTCTGGGACTACTACCTATTATTCAGGACCTTCTTAGCAAGGGGTACCTCCGTCCTGCTCATTCCCCTTACAATACTCCCATACTAGTGGTAAAAAAGCCCAACGGGTCCTATCACTTAGTTCAGGACCTGCAACTCATCAACACCTCTGTTAGGCCCATACATCCTTTGGTTCCCAACCCATACACCCTGCTGTCTCAGATCCCCCATACTGCCACCCACTTGGTCATAGATTTAAAGGATGCTTTCTTCTCCATTCCCCTCGCCCCCGAATCACAAGATCTTTTTGCCTTTACCTGGACAGATCCCACCACCAGACATTCTCGACAACTAACCTGGACTGTCCTTCCTCAGGGATTTTGAGATGGTCCACACCTCTTTGGACAAACTTTGGCCTCCGACCTCCAATCTTTTCACCCCCAGTGCCCTGAATCCACCTTCTTGCAATATCGTCCAGCAAATCTCTTTGCCCACCTGCGAGGAGGAAAACACCTCACCACAGCCTTTAAGGCTACGGTGGCCCTCAGGGAGTCCTTCCTTGGGCAGATTCCTAAAGTCCTAGTCCTCTCACCTTTAAGACTTGGCCGCTAGAGAGATGCTTACCCTCCCCTTCCTCTCTCTTGCCCTGCCTCTCCCCTCTTTCTGGCCCTGGGAGTATTCAGCCTCTCCAGGAAGGGTCCTGAAAAGCCTTGGCCAAGGTCTCCCATGGCTCTGGCTCCATCCAGGACGAGAGCTTCCACTGTCAGGATTCGGTGACGACCAATCTGTGCAGCTCGAACCTGACACTTAGGCACTCCTGATTTTTTTGGCTCTAGCGGGGACGCCGCTTTTGCCAATAAATCAGTTTCTTCCTTCTCTGCATCCTCTTCCCTTCTCCTTACATGGGTAATGTGTCCTCTCTGCTGGTCGACTCTCCCCTACAATGTGTCTTGGATCAAATATAGCACCCAGGCCTGGCCCACTCATCCCTTAGACAACCAAAATAGATGGCCCCTTTTTGGGTCCCTGGATCCCTCCATTCTAAGGGATCTCTATAATTACTGTGAGCATTCAAGATTCTTCTAGCCCTTCCAAAGGGCGCTCAATAGATGACACAGTTCTCCTACTTTCTTGGCCTTAAAGGGATATCGGCCCTCTCCACAAAAGGCCCAAATAGCATGTAAAGAGGTCACATATCTCTCAAGGGAAAAAGGCCATTATAGTAGACAAAAAACAGCTTATTGTATCTATACCTACACCAAAGACCAAAGATGACAGTCACTTCCTCCTTCCAGGGTTCTATCCCTCCTTGTCTCTCCTTGAAAATCATTCCATCTGTTTTCAGTCCTGCTCTCCATTAAACCCTGCCTCCCTCCTCCCATCTTCTCCCTCACATGAAGGGGTTAAAGTGGCAGGGTATGCTGTCGTTTCCCTGTCATCCATCACAGAGGCAAAACCTCTCCCACCCAATACCACCAGCCAACAAGCTGAACTCATAGCTGCCACAAGGGCATGCGAGCTAGCAGAGGGAAAACCCTCTCCCTATATACAGATCTCCCATGCAGCCATTTGGAAGAAAGGGAGCTATTGACCACCAGAGGGACGGCAGTCATTAATTCCACACTTATTTCTGGCCTACTACGAGCCTCCAAGCTGCCTTCACACCTGGGAATAATCCATTGCAAGGCCCACCAAACTGACTCCTCCCTTACTACTATGGGGAATTCCAAGGCCAATCAAGCGGCTCCATCAGCCGCCCTACAGAGCTTCACCTCCTCTCCGCTACTCTTCGTTACCACCGGGGATCGGCCCAAAGATCTCCACCAACTCTTCCAGTTTCTTCACTCTCTATTCCATTCTAGTCCACAGAGTCTCACTACTTTCTTTCACTCCTTTTTCACCCTTTCCCCACGCGATAAGACCCTCCTACAACAGATCGCTTCCACTTATCAGATCTGCCAGAAAACCAATACCAATACTCCATTAAAACCCAAACCTTTCCCTTCTCATCAGGCCCACGGTCATATACTTTTTCGGGATGAGTTGAAGCCTTTCCCACTTCTAACAAGCAGGCCTCTACGGTAGTTGATCTGTTGCTTACTCACATAATGCCCCGTTTCGGGATGTCCACTTCTATCCAATCAGACAATGGCCCAGAATTCACCTCGCAGATAACTCAGGGACTGGCTCATGCACCATCACTCCCTTGGCATTTCCATTGCCCTTACCGCCCCCAGGCTTCTGGAAAGGTTGAAAGGACCAATGGGTCCCTTAAAGAGACCCTCACCAAGCTCACCATGGAATTAAGCCTGGACTTGGCAAAAATGCTCCCCTTGGCTTTATTGCGCATTAGGGCCTTACCAAAGAAGCCTTCTAATCTCTCACCTTTCGAAGTCATGTATGTCCGTCCCCTCATTCCTCCCGGATTGCCTACAGAACCCCTATCCATCTCCGAAACTTATGCCCTGCCCCTCCTCTTCCATCTGTGCTCTGAACTCTGGCGCTATCAAGACTGGCTCCTTCCCGACCCTAGTATCTCTCAAAACCCTACCTCCTTAACACCTGGTCAACTTGTTTACTATTGCCCACCAGGGGAAAAGCCCCCTTTAAAACCAAAATGGAAGGGCCCTGCTCAGGTGATTATGTGCACTCCCTTGGCGGCCAAACTCAAGCTGTCTAATAACCAGCTTACCCCGTGGATTCACATTTCCAGGCTTAAGCCCAGCGTTCCTACACCTTCTTCAGAAGAGCCAATGATCGTCATCTGTTATTAAGTACTCTTGTCATCCCTCCCCATAGATTCCCTCAAGCTCCACCTCTCCTGTGTCTCCGTTCTTAGCCCAATACCTAATGCTCCCCCTCATTTCTGGCCCCTCTTGGGTCCTCTCTTCTCCCTATGTCTGGAGATTCAAAGCAAGTGACCCTCCAGCCAGACCCCCTTCTCCTCCTTACTACAGACCGCACCACCACCACCACCACCACCACTTGCTTGGATCTGGCCGGTAGTGGGACCGTTATGTGTTGTCCTTCTGACAAACCACTTAGGTGTCCGGAGCATGGTGACCCCTGGATAAGTGTGAACTACCTTTATCATAAGAGAGCACTTTACCAATTGCCTTCTGGGCCTAAGGAGGAACATGTATGTTTTGTTTACCCTCCCAGTTTTGTAAGAATTTCAAGTATCAGTATTTAAAGTTGAGGTGTTTCACATACAACCTGGAGAGATCTGACTGCTGTCAAAGGGAAATCTGGTAACAGTGGGCCACCGTCCTCCCTTGGCCACCTTCGTTCAGAGCTTGGGAGAAGCTGCCTTCTTTATTACAAAGCCCGTACTTTCTTGGTGTGACTGGGGAAAGCTGGGAACAGTGATAAGTGAGAGAAGCAAGCTGGTTTGGCAAGCTGGGATATTTCGAGAAAGGTAAAGAGAGAAGCAAGCTGGTTTCAGAGACACCCAGGTAGGAGAGAGTTTGAAGAGCAGCCTTAATAGAGAGGGGAGGGAGCTAGATTGGACTAGGAATGAAGAGTGGAATTGAGGGTGTTAGGTGCAGGTCAGGCTGGTCTGCAGGGCATGCCAAACAAAGTTACCTGCAGGATGACCTGGCTTCTCAAACTCTGTGACTGGTTCTTTATCACCTGTTTGCTTCAAGCCCAAATGCCCAATCCCCCGCTCAAGGCTGAACATTTAACCCTCCTTGTGCCAACAAGGCAGCTTGCAGACCCAGAGACCCCATTAGATCTGGGCTATAAAAACTCCCTGTGCCTGTTCCTTCCCTTTATCATAAAGTTCATTCAGACTCAGGTGGGTAAAAAATTTCTAATCCAGCTTTTAACCAGCTTCTCCTCAGGAACTACCAACTCCTGGCTACTGATGATACCTCCAGTCCAGACCTATGCCGAATGGACTGACATCATCATGGATCTGTGGTGGCAAGGAACTTTCCTTGATCTGGTTCCTGAAGTTATACCAGTCCTCTCTGCCCTGCTGGGGGGTCTCCTTACTTCCCTCCTCTCTGATTCTCTCACACCACCCCATCTCAGCAGGAAACAGCCAGAACGAGTCAATGTCCACTCTCATTTAATAACAAAGGGGGGGAATGTTGGGAGTTGCCCTGGCTCCAAAGAACTTCCCCAACCCTAGAAGAGTTGTCCAATGATGGTGAGCCCTGCTGGCTCACATGATCCTTACCCATCAATTAGAAAGTACCCCATGCCAACTGTAAAACCCTTCAACCTTTAAACTCATATCTGTCAAACCACCCCCGGCTCTATAAATATGCAGAGCTGTTCCTCAATAAACGGGCATTTTCATCGACGACGAGCCTTGTTCGTTCTTTCAGGGACCTGACCTGACTGGCACAGCACACTGCCACCTCCTCATCTCTGGTTGCCCCTAGAGTCCTGGAGCCCCGGGTTTCTAGCCATTTGTCCCTTTGCTGAAGGACTCACCAGCTCCTCCCACCTTCTGTTCCAGATGAAGGAGGAGCGGTTCAGGCAGCTCTTCACCGCCTTCGGCACGCTGACCGACTGCAGCCTCAAATTCACCAAAGATGGCAAGTTCCGCAAGTTTGGCTTCATCGGTTTCAAGTCCGAGGAGGAGGCACAGACCGCGCTGAACCACTTCAACAAGAGTTTTATCGACACGTCCCGGATCACAGTGAGTGAGCCCCTGCCTGCCTGTCCAGAGTGTCACCCACCGCTCCACCTGTCAGCGACACTTGGGTCCCAAGGCTGTCCTTTTTAGGCCCTGAGGCCCTTGGTCTACCTCAGTGGTTCCCACTCTTCTGTGTGTAAGACTCTCCCGGGAGCCAGTCAGACTGCTGCTGGGCCCGCCCCAGGATCTGGCTCGGTGCGGGAGTCACGGGGAAGAACAGGCCTTCTGGAGCCTCGGTGGCACCTGTGCTGCCAGCCAGGAGGGCACTTGAGCCACAGGTGTGCGTTCTTCACTGCCCGACAGCAGGCGCTCAGGAGCCACCGGTGCCTGTCCTCAGGAGCACTGGCAGATGCACATGCTGAGTTCAGGCGGTCAGTGTGTCAGGGACCCTGGGAGAACTGAGCAGCACCCACTCTGGCGAGGGAGGGGTCAGGAAAGTTTCCTGGAGGAGGAGGTCCCACAAGGGTCACCCACAGATGTTCATTGACATGATAAAACGTCCCCAGCCCTTTGCTGAGAAGGAAGAAGCCATGATGGAGCAGCATAGAGCCCGAGGCGATGCACGGCCTCACCCCTCGCTCTGTGTGGTGTGGGCGTGGTGGCCTGCGGGTCACCAGGCACTGGTGGTTCATCTTTGGTGACAGGAGTTGGAGTCACAGCTTTTTGACCTTCATCATAGACTTAAGGGACTGCTGTGGAAGTCCACGCAGCCAGGATGTGACCAAATGGCAGGCTCTTTCTTTGGGGAGGGTGGTGGGTGACCAGAGCGTCCTTAACTGTCCCGAGCCTGGAGCAAACATGCCCAGAGACCAAGGCAGCCCGAGCAGCCCTCACAAGGCTCCCTCACAAGGCTGGAGTTGTCACTCCGGGCTCCCAGCAGGACCGGCCCTCACCAGGGTCACCTCTGAGAGTGTGTTGGAGGCTTTGGTCTGGAGAGGTCTGGCTCAGGCTTCATCCTCAGCACACTCCTGGCCCCGGGCCCACCCCGTCTCCTGTTACCTGGGAGGTTCTCCCAGACCAGCGGAGCTTGCCTCGTGGTCACCAGTGATCCCAGGAGCATGGGTGTCCCCTGCACCCGCCCTTGCTGATCACTGGCCTACATCATCTCATTCTGTCCTCAGAGCCACCATTTGGCATGGATGGTCCTGAGTCCCCAGTCTCTGTCCCTGAGGGCCTGGGTCACCTGGGGCAAGTTGCTTCACATCTCTGTGCTCCAGTTTTCTGGTCTTGAATTAGGGAGAGTTGTGGCTTCACTGTCCACTGTCCGGAGGCTCAGCGTGTCCACGGTCCTTGTGGGGCAATCGGGTGCTGCATGGAACTCCCCAGTAGACGGTAGCTAGTGTGGTGCCTTTGCGGAGGACAAAGCCAAGGCGGGGTGGTAGTCCTCTGCTTCCGCTCTACTAGTGGCAGCTGCCTGTCTGTAAAGCCCAGGTTCCCAGGTGCTGAAGAGCAGAACACTCAGGACTGTGGCTGTCAGAGCAGTGTGACAATCGCCCTTTCTCATGCAGGTAGAGTTCTGCAAGTCCTTTGGGGACCCAACAAAGCCCCGAGCCTGGAGCAAACATGCCCAGAAACCAAGGCAGCCCGAGCAGCCCTCACAAGGCTCCGTCCCCCCGGAAATTAAGAAGGTATGCAGGTGACCGTGCCAGTACCAGGCCTGTGTGGGCAGGTAGTGGCTCTGGAGGGGTCTACAGTTCCATTTGCCCTCCACCTCCCGTGTGGCCCTCATCCTCTGCCTCTGTTTTTAGGATGACAAGAAGAAAAAGGCCCCACGTGAACTGGAGCAGGTGAGTCTGTCCTGTTGACCGAAAGGGCAGGGGCAGCCGGTCGGAGGGGTGCAGGCTGGTCCAGAAAGCAGAGCCCACACCTTGAGTGTCCTGCCGGGTTCCTGTGGACTCGGGATCCACTAGAGATGAGGAGGATGCTCGCTCTGCCGGGAGTTCGCAGGACCAAGCCCCCCTGAGTCCTCTCTGCCTCTTCTCCTATGTCCCTGTTGCCCGCCTCCTGTGCCCCCAGCTGAAGGAAGACACCGAGTTCCAGGAGTTCCTGTCGGTTCACCAGAAGCGGACACAGGTGGCCACTTGGGCAAATGATGCCCTGGACACTGAGCTCCCCAAAGGGAAGAGAAAGCCGACCAGTGACTACCTGAACTTTGACTCCGATTCTGGGCAGGAGAGTGAGGAGGAGGCTGCCAAGGAGGAGCCGGGAGGTGAGGCTTGGGCACTGCGCCTGTGCACCTGTGTCCCTCAGCTGCAGCCCTGTGGGCCACCGACACCTGCTGGCAGGCACTGGGTGCCCCTCCCTCAGACACCAGGCCTGGGGCGTCCAGACACAACTCAGGAGCTTTCTAGTGGGGGGATGAGGTCACTTGCAGGCAGGTCTGCCGTGACTGGTCCTGGTAACTGGCTTATCAGTAGTGTTCACCAAGTGCATGCTGCGTGCTGGGCTCTGGGGACATGGCACTGAGCCGCAGACAGGAACTGTCAGCTGTCATTGTGGTGAGAGGAGAGCAGTAAACAGATGATCACCCGGAGACACATCATGGGGTCATAGCCGCTACGGAGAGGAAGCAGGAGAGCTTGGGAGGAAATTGCCAGGGAAGGCCTTGCGGGGTGGGTGAGTCTTTGTCCTCTCAGGCTCAGAGTGCTGGGGCAGTTGGTGGCTAGTGACCGGCTGCAGCATGGGGTGGCAGCTCTGGTTGGGGGTCAGTCGGGCTGGCTGAGGGCAGAGGATATGTACGTAGCGTCACCTGTGTGCCTGGCAGGGTTTCTGTGCTAAGCTGGGATCTGGAGGACTTGTGGGACGTGGTGGGACATGTAGCCAGGGGTAGAGAGGGGGTCGCAGACCAGGGCACAGCATCACAGGGGCTCAGGACAGGGGAGCGCGCAGCTGCAGGGCAGAGTGGCTCTGGGCACTGGAGCAGGGGGGGTGGGGCTCCATCCTCAGCGTCCAGAACTCACGGGTGGGGGTGTGAGGCTAGAAGGACAGTTGTGTCCGCCGAGCAGGCACACTCCTCCTTCCCGGCTGTCTCTGTAGCACCCCTCAAGAGCTAGCATCTCACCAGGTGTCCCCTGTAAGCCGTTCACACCTGTGTGCTTCCCACAGGGTAGCAGATAGCAGGTGAGGAAGCCAGGGGCCCAGCACTGGAGCTGAGCCAGGGTGAGGTCCTAATGTTTGGGGTGTTTGCTGCCTAAGTAGATGATTGAGCGTGGCTCCCACTGGGGTTATGTGGGTGGCCCTATGAGATGATGGGTGTGTGCTCTAAAGGGTTCACTGTAGAAATGGTTCTGCTGTGTAAGTGCTTTCTGTGGCACGTGAAGCTCCTTAGTGTACTTGACACAATTAGGAAGGTGACTGATGACCGGGAGGGGCCATCCAGGGGAGAGTTTGGTGGTGGCAGAGAGGCATGAAGCTGTGTGTGTGGTGCGGGAGCTTCACCCTCTCATGGTGCCCATCAGAGGGTTTATTGGGGCAGTGGGCACCAGGGCCCTGATTGTGGTCAGGCCATCCCCCAGGTTTCCAGCCCTGTGCTGCCCAAGTCTCTCTGGCTGCTCAGGAGGGTGACCTCCTCCCCACCCCCTGCCCTCTCAGCAGAACAAGGCCTGGAAGCTAAGGTGGCTGCCCAGCAGGGACTGTCAGACATGGAGTATCTGAAGTCCAAGGTGGTGGCAGCCGAGTCCTCTTCCTCAGAGGAGGAGGAAAGTGAGGACGAAGCCGTAAACTGTGATGGAGGCAGCGAGGAAGAGGAGTCCCCTGCTGCCCCCGACCAGCCGGAGCGAGGGAGCCCAGGGGCCCTGCCTGGGAGGGGGAGGCCGCAGGAGCCCGGAGCCCAGGTACGTGCCTGCAGGAGGGACAGTGGGGGTTGTGTGCCTGTCTGGGTGTGGCCCCATGGCTGGGAGTGTGACGCGGAGGAGAGCCCAGCAACCCGCCACACACTCCCCCATCCTCTGGGCTCATTGCCTGCTACACGGGAGGGGTGGCCTGCTGGGGCTCTGGGCCCAAGTGAGGTGGTGACGGCTGGGTTACTTGGTGTTCAGTCACAAGGTGGGCAGGTGTGGGTGGGCTCCTCGTTGATGGACAAACCTGCTATCACTGGATGCTGTCACAGTCGCTCTCCGGCAGTCTCCTGCCTTCATTTTATAGATAAGAAAACTGAGGCCCAGAGAAGGGAAGTAACAGGTCAGGCCCCAGGCCTGGGTCTGCCAGGCTCTGAGGTTGAGTTTATAAAGGTGGACGAGACCGTTGAGGACGGCCACCTTGTCTCCCACCCAGAGTCCACTCCTCCAGACACAGAGTTTAGACGTGCGTGCGTCCCAGTCCCTTCAGTGGAAGCTCCATCAAGAGGAAGGGGTTCCGACTGTCGCCTCCTCTTCCCCTTGCTCTTCTCCACCCTCCTTTCTAATGCCCACCCTGTCCCTGTCCAGGGAGGTCAGAGGGTGAGGGGTTCAGCTCTCAGCTCTGACCCTGTGTGACTGCTGGGCCCAAGGGTGTTGCAGCTCCACAGGCCTCTCTGATCCTCATCTGGAAGGGACCTCCTCTCAGCGCCCGTGTCCATCACCGGGCAAGTGGACATGAGTGGTAGCAAGGTCTCTGCCCCGGGGCTCCTCCCATCTCCCCGGCCACGGTGCCCTGAGCCTTGGCTGCAGCCCTCAGAGGCAAATGGAGACCCCACAGCTGCCACCTGCACCTCTGCCCGGACCCTGAGCCCGTGGCAGGCACAGATGTGGCACTCTCGTGCTACCCCGTAGCCTCCACTCCTAGAGCTGCCATGTCCCAGTCTGTCCCCTGCCACCGCTGCCCCAGGGAATCCACTGTGGCTGTTTCTCTTTGTTCAGACAGAGAAACCAGCAAACCAGAAGGAACCCACCACGGCCCACACCGTGAAGCTACGGGGAGCCCCGTTCAGTGTCACAGAGGTAGGTGCTCTGAGGACGGGAAGATCACCTGTGGGCGCAGACTAGGGTGGGTGGGGAGCTTCTGTTGCCTGAGGCCATTAGGGTCGAGAGCGAGAAGGAATTGGGCCCATCTTGGGCATCCTCCAGGAAGGAAACAAGATGGCTGCCTAGAGCTTAAAAAAAAAAACGCTAGGGGAGCTTGGGCCAGGGGAAGGCCAAGTGGTCAGTGTGGTCTCTGTTGGGAGCCCTCACCCTGCTCCCATAGGGGCAGCCGTCTCAGACACAGGTGAGGGCATAGTTATTGCTGCAGCCCTGCTCAACACTATTTCCAGAAACAGGCCGCAGGCCAGACAGAGCACGGGCTGTAGCTATCCGGCTCTAGGTCTGCGCCAACAGAGGCGCCTGTCTTCATTTCCCTCCTGTGACGGTCAGAGAAGCTCACTAAAGGAAATTCTAAAGGACACAGCTACGTGACTAGAACCTGAAAGTCACCTGCAACTGGGATGACCACGTGGGTTACCATCCACACTGACCTGCGAGCTGGGGTGTAGCCAGGTGGGGTGCCAGGGTGCAGGTAAGGTTACTGCAGGTCTAAGGACTAGAGCTGGAGGTGCCAACTGTCCTTGGCACAGTGGGCAACCCTGCTCAGCATTCCTATGTCCCACTCAGTGGCAACCACTGGTACTTTGGGGACATGCCTTCTTAGATGTTTTTTCCTGTGCACCGACACTGGTCTGGTTTCTCATTCCCATTTTGGTTTGCAGCGTCCCTGCAGCAGGACCACGCTTGCTGCCCACCACTTTTTGTGTAGTCTTCCTTACTCAGGAGATGCTTTGATACACTTCCCTGATCTCCTAAAGTGGACATGGGAGCTACTTACAATTTTGTGCTGTTAGAAATACTGAAGCAATTACTTGTGATTAGGGTCAGTTTTGGGGGGGTTTGGGGGGTACCAAGATTGAACCCCAAGGCGCGTAACCACTGAGCCACATTCTCATCCCTTTTTAAGTTTTGAGACAGGGTCTCACTGAGTCACTCAGGCTGGCTTTGAACTTGTGATCCTCCTACCTCAGTCTCCAGAGGCACTGGGATTACTGGCCTGCCCACTGTGCCTGGCCTAGTTAACTTTTTTTGAAGAAAAAATGAACCCTTGCCCTACTCCTCCTGATAAAATCAGGTTCAGATACATCAAGGATTTGAGCTGAAAAAGTTTCTTTCTAAGCAATTTGTAAAGTTTCGTGGGGGGAAAAAAATGGGTTGATTACCTACCCACCAGCCCAGAGCTCTGGAAGCCAGCAGCTATCGTGAAGTCACAGTGGTTCATAGCCTAACAGAGGCAGGAGTCTGGTGTCTCTAATTTACAGAGAGATTTTTATGAAGGATTTATGACCCAACAGAAAAATAACACAAAGAACAGAAGGTTTTCAAGAACAGGAACTCAGGTGGCCAGTGCACATGTTTGGATTCTGTCATGATTATCAAAAAACAAAATCAAAACTGGAGTTCACATTTTTCACTTGCCAAAATGGTACGCATCGTTCATGTTTGGCAGTAAATATTTTCTTGCCTTTTAGAGGGCCGCGTGGAGCTGCCTGGCAACATTACGGACATCCAGGCCTTTGCAGAGCTGGTGCCTGGCCAGGGATTTGCCCCCAGGTGAATCCCGGCACACCAGAGCCTGGATGCAGGAACGTTCTTGCAGCCTTCCTGTTATTATTTATAACTCAACGTGTTGATTTGCAGTCACTGATAAGAACAAAAACCCAAATCAACCCTGAAGCTCCATTTCTGGGGAAGTGGTGTGTCCATGGTTCTTGGAGGGGAGTGGTCTACCCCTGCACAACATCTGGCCTTGGTCAGAGGTGCTCTTGATGGTAACATCTGTGGGGGGCTGCTGGCCTCTAGTGAACAGAGACCAGGTGTGCTGTGTAAGCCCTGCCAGACACAGGACAGCCCCCTCAACAGAGTCACTAGCCCAAAAATGTCACCAGTGCCAGGTTAAACCTGGGTTAACTCACAGGGACACGTGAAAATGGTGTAAGATGACGTATCACAGAAAAGAACATGATGACAGGGGAGACCCCCAAGGTGTCGCGGCCAGTAGAAAAGCCCAGGTGTGGAGCAGGACATGGCTTCATGCCCAGAGGAACCTAGCTGTGTGTGACCCACCATGCTGGCTTTCCTCTGGGCAGGGGAAAGTTTGGAAAGAATCTGGTAATTGCAAACTTGGATGCAGTAACGCGAAAGCTCAGAACTTGGCTGGGCTTCTTCCACTGCCCTGGATGTGTCCTTCTGTCCTTCTGTCACCTTGTAGGACAAGCTACGTCCAGGCGGGGCCTCAAGGGCTTACCCCAGTACCCAGTTGGGAAATGGATTTGCGGCTTTTGTTTTGCAGAAGGAGCCAGGAAGAGTGAGCTGGCCTTGGAATTAGGAACCAGTTTGGTTTCCTGATTTGTACTTTTTAGTATTTGTTAGAATTTCACACCCTGAATGTTCACATATTTTTAAAAATGTGTTTAAATCTCACACATGTCCAGAGAAGGGAGTAGTTAAGAATTGGGGGCCTCCCTGCAATGGAACTTTAGGTTTGTCACTGTGATTAACCTAGACAAATATCCATGCTTTAAAGAGAAGTAAGAAAAGCCAGATTTAACCCCAAGTATTTAAAAAAACAAAAACCAAAAAACAACTCCTTAGGAACAAAGACCAGATGTAATGCCTTAAAACGCTGCTGCTAATATTACTATTTTATAATTACATTATTTGTTCTTCTTTAGTTTTTATTTCCCAGTTTTTCTTACTTTATGGTGAGGAGAGATGAGTGTGACTTAAAGGAAGGAGAAAAACCATGATCACTTCGTTATCTTTTCTGATCCAACACTTTGCTCCTTATCTCTTTATCGGGTTGCATGGTTTCTTGGGGAACTGATAAGAGGCAAAACTTGTCCTTGCAGAAAAATGTCCTGGAATTCCTGGCGCCCCTGAAACCAGTGGCCATTCGAATAGTGAGAAATTCGCACGGGAACAAGACAGGTAAGGCCTGGGAGCTGGGAGGATGTGCGGGGGAGGGCTGGCCACATAGTTGGGGATGTCCCAAGGCAGCCTTGTCCCTTCTCCCCGTTGGGGTCCTCAGTTCTGTGGATGTGGCTAACTGGTCAAGACACAGATCTCTGTCATCCTTGCCTCTGGCAGCCTGACTTATACTGTCAGAATTCTCTCCTCCACTGTTCTAGTAGGTTCCCCTGTTTTGTTCACGTAGATGCCCGCAGGTCTGGGTTTGCTGGGCTAAGTCCATGGGCGGCTCTGCCAGCGGGCAGTCCCCTACCTCTCTGCGCATGTGTGGTGTTGCCCCAGACCACATCTCCCCAGGTGTCTGCTCCGGGCTGTGAGCCTCCTCCCTTGGCCTTGGAGCCCTGGGTCTGGCTGCCTGGAGGCAGTGAGCATGGCTGGAAGGAAGGTGGATCTGGGAGAGCTGGGCACCTGCCCAGCCCAGTGGCCAGCTAGGCCAGAAAGCCGTAGGAGACCAGTGGCAGAATAGCCACATCTCAGAGAACCATACTAAGGCTCTGTGGCCACTGGGTGTCTGGACCCTGGGGTTGGGAGTGTCTTGGCAGGAAGAGGCCACCTGGGCAGAGTGGTCAGGTCTGGCCGAGCTGGCACCCAAGGAGAAAGGTGCTCCTGCGTCGGGGTGGTCCAGTGCCCTTGCTGTGTCGGGTCTCGTCCCTCCCCAGCTCACCAGGATGATGGTTCAGGCAGCTGTTACTCCTGGAGATAAGCAGAGGGCAGTGTGAGGGGCGGGGGACAGAGCCCCTGCCCAGCCAGACACTTAGGAGCCCTGTGACCTGGGACAGGAACTCAGCCTCCTTTCCTCGTCTGCATAAGGGGTCAGGGTCAGCCCCGGACGGTGTGAGCACTGGGCACGCTCGGAGTGCAGCTGTTGGTGTTGGTCCTGGTGGCGGGGCCACCGGTTCATGACACCTCAGAGACCAGGCAGGGAGCCAGGAGGAAGGTACCTGCCTTGATGGGGCTCAGGGACAGCATCTTGGAGGCCCTGGCGCTGGAGAGAGCCAGCACCTGAGCATGACGCTGTTGAGGGCAGCAAACGACCCAGGTGGAAGTGTGGGGGCGGAAGCTGGACTGGGCCCTGGGGCTGCAGTAAGTAGGGGAGCCTGGGCCCAGTGGAGGCTCGGGGCTTAGGATAGCCTCAGGTTTAGAAAGGCCCGCTGGCCAGTGCAGGGAGGGCCGCAGGCAGCTGGAGGCAGTGGAGGCTTTTGCTTGTGTGGGCTGGTGGGGGAGGCTGGGGGAGACTGTGGTGGTGTAGATGGGATGCTGTTTGGCGGCTTCACGGGTCGAGGCCCAGTGAGGTTGAGGATGTGCAGGCCTCTGCACCTGCTTGTTTCTGTGTAGTCACGGCCTCTGGAGCTGCAGGCAGGGTGCTGTGGAGGTGACCCTCCAGTGCTGGGCTGGGTCACAGCGGCCATCGTGAGCATTTCTTCTCTGCTCTGCAGAACATGGTCAGGGAAGGGGTGAGGCTGGGAGGGAGGCAGAAGGGGCCTGGTTTTTGCACCTTCACCCACAATGCCAGGTGGGTGCTGAGTGCTCCTCCAAAGGGTGGCCAGGTGGGGGGTCAGCCTGTGCCGTGGCGGCTCCCACTTTCTGCACCTAGCCAGGTGCCCACGTTCTCTGACTCCGAGCATTGTCAGGGCTGCCAGTTACCTTGTCGTGGTCCCGTCTCAGGGTACGTCTTCGTGGATTTCAGCAGCGAAGAGGAGGTGAAGAGAGCCCTGAAGTGCAACCGGGAGTACATGGGTAAGGAGGCGCGGCGCTGCATCCTGGGCACCCTGGCTCCTGCGTGGGCCCTGGCTTAGGTACTTGTGCTGAGCGTCCCCTCCTGCCACACGCTCTGGGCACCGAGGGTCCAGCAGCAAACAGACAGGCTGCAGAGAGGCAGGCGGTGCTGGAGCAGGTGATGGGCACATGGCCCTAGGACAGCGTCGGGCAGGCAGGGTACGAGGTGAGGGCCGGGGAGGAGGAGGCAGGTCTTCCCCAGGGTGGCCGCCGGGCCTCAGGGGCACGTGCAGCCTGGGGTGAGCAGCAGGCCTGCCTAGGGCGCAGGGTTGGTGGAGGTGCAGCAGGTGCGCCGTTCCTGAGCTGGGACATGGTCCTCAACCCATCTGTGGCATGGACGCCTACCGGGGCAAGTGTGTGGGGAAGGCAGGGGTCCCCAGGAGTCCTGCCAGCGAGTCAGGCGGAAGGTATTGACTGAGTGCTGGGGTGCAGGCAGAGGCAGGCGACCCCTGAGCCCTTGGGAGGCATGCGAACAGGTAATCGTCCAGGGTGACTGTCACAGCAGCCTTCCTCAAGACAGAGCAGCCAGTAGTGCCTGAGAGTAGGCCAGAGCCCAGAGCATGTGTCCCTGTGGCTCCCGAGAGCCAAAGCCACGTAGCAGGCCACACAGGGCCCCAGAGTATGCTGTTGGCCGTGGCCCTCCTCAGCCAGAGCGTCTGGCGGGCAGCAGTGAGAGGCCTGGGTCACCAGCCAGTCCTCTGGCAAGGTCTGGGCCTCCCCAGAGCCCTGACCCCTCCGCCTGTGCAGGTGGACGCTACATCGAGGTGTTCAGGGAGAAGCAAGTCCCCACAACCAAGGGGCCCCTACAGAAGAGCACACAGCCCTGGCAAGGCCGGACAATAGGGGAGAATGAAGAGGAGGAGGACCTGGCCGACTCTGGAAGACTTTTTGTGCGTAACCTGCCCTACACGAGCACCGAGGAGGACCTGGAGAAGCTCTTCTCCAACTACGGTAGGACCTGCTCCTGGGTAGCCCCCGGCCCTGGGCAGCCCCCTCCACTTCCCTCTAGCTCTTGGCCTTGGGCAGTGGCCCCAGCTGGGGTCTCCTCATCTTAGGGACAGGGCTTGCTGACCCTCCCTGCTGCAGATGCAGTGGCATCTTTTGCTCTCTGAACTTGAACTTGGATTTTTTCTCCTTTATTTTCTTTTTAATGGTTCTGGGGATTGGACCAAGGGGTGTTGTACCACTGAGCTGCATCCCAATCCTTTTCATTTTTTATTTTGAAACGGGGTCTTGGTAAGTCAATGAGGCTGGCCTTGATCCTCCTGCCTCAGCCTCCCAAGCCGCTGGGATTACAGGCACAGCCACGATGCCCGCAGAGCTGGGATTCTCACTCTCTCTCCAAGCACCGAGCTGGAGAGATGAAGGCATTTTCCTGGGCTTCCTTGGCTGCTCAGTGTTGGGATCCAGCGGCCGCACAGCCCCCAGTACCCGCAGTGCTCCTCTGCCTGGGAAGGCTGTGCTTTCTCGTCTTCAATCCAAACCGAACTTCAGAGAGGAGGCCACAGCCAGGGCCCTTTGTTCTTGCCTCAGTCGTTACTTCTTGGACTGGGAACTTGCAGGCCTGTAGTTGTGCTCGGCCACATGGGGCTGGGTCTGGAGGTGCTGTCCGAGCCCCTGTCTCTTGGGAGGCTGGCCTGGACGTGGAGCATCAGAGACAGCGTGACGTCCACAGAGGTCCCACACGGGACCTGAAGGTCTGGCCATGCTGTCCTGCTCCCCAGGTCCTCCCACACAGGCTGGTGCCCTGGCTACACAGCAGTGCTACACAGGACAGGAAGGGGATTGTCCATAGGAACCAAATTTAAAAAAAAAAAAAACATCGAAATGCAGGCCCCTAAATTGAGAGCGTCCATAGGCTCCAAGTGCCCATTTGGGAAGAGGAAGACCCACAGAGGGGACGCAGTCACACCCTGGTGTTCAGAGTGTCCACTGCAGACAGTGTCCTCTGAGTAGGATAGAGTCACAAACACTTTCGCGGCACTAAGTGTAGCCGGTGCTGGGTAGTAACCACACACTGACTCTTGGACCTTCGAGGCCACCCTTTGCTTGGGGACTGTTGTGCCATTCACAGGCGAGAGGAGGAGGCCAGAGTGGGTGAGGTGACCAGGCCAGGCCAGGCTGCACGTGAGGGGGATGGAGACAGGTGCCCCTCCTACCCGACTTCTCTTAGCAGGCACGAGGGACTATGAAATGACGCCCTTGACCTTGGGCCTGGTGGCTGGCACAGAGCAGCTGTTCTGTGTTCCTGTGGCCGACCCCTTAGTGCCCGGCCCTTTCTCACCCTGAGCTCAGGCCCAGCTCCAGCTCCAGCAGGCTGACGCCTCCCCTGTCCTCAGGTCCCCTGTCGGAGCTCCACTACCCCATCGACAGCCTGACCAAGAAGCCCAAGGGCTTCGCCTTTGTCACCTTCATGTTCCCTGAGCACGCGGTGAAGGCCTATGCGGCTGTGGACGGACAGGTGTTCCAGGTGAGGTGGTTTATGGGCACCAGGTCACTGAGCCTGGCGACGGAGAAGGCCACGCCAGGTGGCTGTATGAGCAGGCGCACGTCCACATTCTGGGTCCCAGGACCCACGGTGGCCAGCCATGTGGTCGCCTCCAGTGAGCTACTTGAAGGGAAGATGCTGTGAGAGGGGAGCTTGCTGGGGTGTGTGGGTGGCCCTGAGGAACCAGGGAGCTGCTGCTCTCCCAGTGTCCCCGTGCGGTGTGCCCAGGCCCAGGCCAGGCCACCTCCAGTGCTCCTCCATCCATCTGCTCATGGCATATTGGTCTCGCGGGCACCGGGCCAGACTGGTCCCTGCCGTGTGCAGCTCACAGTGACACCTGTGCAGGGTCCGCCGGGGGAGTCAGGGGCCGTGGGGTGCTCACAGAGGGGTACAGTCCCCTTGGCGTGGCTGTGTCGGGTACCCCCAGCCTCAGCTGGACGGAGAGTGACCACGTGGCTTTCTGACCGCCATCCCCGTCTCCCATCAGGGCTCAGTGCTGAGTCCAGCTGGCTTATGACAAGGGGACATGATGGAGGGCGGGGCTCCACTCACCTCCTGCTCTGTCCCCTCAGGGCAGGATGCTGCACGTGCTGCCCTCCACCATCAGGAAGGAAGCCAGTGAGGACGCGGACATCCCCGGCTCGTCCTACAAGAAGAAGAAGGCATCTGAGGACAAAGCCCGCAGCTCCAGGTCCTCGTCCACCCTGCGTGGCCTCTGCACCCGTCCAGGCTCTGCCGTCCAGGCCCTTTCCCTCTGTAGGGTGGGGCCTTCAGGGCCTCAGTGTCCCCACTGCACATCGGAAGAGTGGGACTGTGCCAGCATAGGTTCTGAGGTGTCACCAAGGGCTAGGTCCCTGGCACAGGGCAGGTGTGACACTTGTCAGGGCTTGAGTTTGCGGTTCACTGCAGGCCGGATGCTCACCCAGGACAGGAGAGTTGGCAGGGGAGCGGAGGGCGGGGAAGGCCGGCGAGGCTCATGTCAGTTTTGGTGTCTGCGAAAGAGGCCCGTGTTGGTCCCAGCCTGACCTGTTCTGCCTGCCCCTGCCCTTAGCTCCCACAACTGGAACACACTGTTCATGGGGCCCAATGCCGTGGCCGATGCCATCGCGCAGAAGTACAGTGCCACCAAGAGCCAAGTGTTCGACCACGTGAGTGAGCCCAAGTGTCTTGTGCGCGTTGAGTCCACAGACCTTCCTTCCAAATGCTGTCCACGGTCGCCCTCTGCTGCGGTCGATTGAAGCAAACCCCAGCGTGTTTTTCAGCCACTTGGCAAAGGAGGTCCCTTGGTTCTGCCCATTAGCTGCTTTCTCCATTGTCCTTTACCCTCCCTCATGGCACGCGGGTCAGTGCTGTCCACTGGAGGTAGAAGGCCGGCCCCGCATATAATTGTGAGCGCCCCAGTGGCCACGTGTGTACAAAGAAACAGGCAAAACTAGTCTTAACAAGACACCGTCTTCAACTTGATGTCTAGAGCCTCATCACTTTGACGTGAGCAACGTAAAAAGCCACACTGTGGTTCCTTCCTTCTTTCCACCAATCCATTGTATTTTGTGGGTAGCACAACCTGGATCTGAACATGCCACACTTCAGGTGCCTGGTCATGTGGTGGCTTGTGGCTTGTGGGCTGGGGAGGGCAGCCTGGCCTGAGTTGGAAGGACAGCCACAGCTTCTCAGGCCCCGCCCATGCCCTCTGAGCACTGGGGCTCAGCAGCACCTGGACAGAGGTCCCACCTTGTAGTGCCACCTAGAGGAGGCAGGGGAAGAGAGGAGAGTTTGGGGGAGCTGTGGCAGGAAAGTGGGCGGGTGGGGAGGTGACAGAAGCAAGGACTGCCTGTAACGGGGTCAAGGTCAGCGTATGCAGAAGCCCCAGGGTGCAAGTGGAGCCTCACAGAGACCTGCCCACTGCAGGAAGGGAAGAGCCCCAGGGTGGGCGGCGATGCGTGGCTGTGGAAGGCAGAGAGCTGGTGTAGTGCCAGAGCATGGTCCCTACCTCAGTGTGGGTGGGCGACAGCACCCTGAATCCCCTCCCCGCTGGGCCTGCCTGGCTGGCTATGCCCCACTTGACAGGCCCGGCCTCCTCTCCTCATAGGAGACCAAGGGCAGTGTAGCCGTGCGCGTGGCCCTCGGGGAGACTCAGCTGGTCCAAGAAGTGCGGCGCTTCCTCATCGACAACGGAGTCAGCCTGGACAGTTTCAGCCAGGTGGGTGCCTGCTGCCCCACTGCCCCCACCTCTGGGGAGTCGACTGCTGCTGCTCCAAAGCTGGGGACGGCCTCAGGGGAGGCTGGGGGTGTGGGTGGGTCCTGTGGTGACTGGAACCAAACCTAGGGCTCAACCTCAGAGTTGCCCCTCCAAAGGACAGGGACAGCCAGCTCCTGGGGGCGGTGGGCTACTCCTGAGGGCACAGGCTCCTCGCTGCTTGTGCTTCCCACGCCTGTGTCTGCAGGTGGTCCGCAGTGCCAGGAAGAGCCCTCTACACTGAGGTGCCGATCTCAATTACTGCCCAGTGCAGGGCGCCTGGGAGGTCCATCGGGGCTGTGGTCAGTCACTATCGGGATCTGGTGACTCAGCTGGGGCTGGGATTCGACCCCGGGGGTCTCACCGGGCACCCTTGGCCTTCGCCCTCAGCAGAGCTGCCTGTTGGCTGTGGAGCCAGCCGGTGGTGCCTCCTGGGTCCTCCCAGGGGCCTGGCCACTGAGCCCCCAGGTGCTCACCTTGACTAGAGGCCACCAGGTCAGTGCCAGTGTCCAGCTGAAGAGCCCTGCTGCCGTCCCTCACGTGGCCTCTCCTCCCTGCAGGCGGCAGCAGAACGAAGCAAGACTGTGATTCTCGCCAAGAACCTCCCGGCAGGCACCCTGGCGGCTGAGCTGCAGGAGACCTTCGGCCGTTTCGGGAGCCTGGGCCGCGTGCTGCTGCCCGAGGGTGGCATCACTGCCATCGTGGAGTTCCTGGAGCCCCTGGAGGCCCGCAAGGCCTTCCGACACCTGGCGTATTCCAAGGTAGGCCGCTGGGAGCTGCTGCGAGGAGAGGGCCCAGGAGCTGGTGTGCCCACTGCCCAGCACGGGCTCGGCCTGGCTCCACCTTGGTGCTAGCCCACCTTCCTGCCTGGACTTAGCTGTGGCGCCGTCCTTGCCTGTGGTGAGCTGCGGCCCATCCTGCTGCAGGGCCGTCCATGTGTGCATACACATGCATCTGCGGCACCGGCGGGAGGGGGGGCCTCTGCAGCGCCATAACAGGTGGCCTAAGACCACACAGTGCACCTGTCACAGAGCTGACAGGCAGGCAGGCGTCCAAGAGCAAGGTGTGGCCAGGGCTTCCAAGGGCTCTGGGGAGGACCTATCCTGCCTTTGCCCACTGCTGGGCTCCCAGCATCCGTCAGCTCCCTGCGCCACTCCCGTCCCTGCCCCGTCTTTACGTGGCCTTCTTCTTGGTCCCAGATCCCTCTCCTGGGCTTACAGCCCACCCAGATAACCCCGGACCATCTCGGGGTCTTGATGGTACTTGCAGGGGATGCACTGATAGGTCTTGGGGGTCTAGATGGCCATCTCTTGGGGAGCCACCTTTCACCCACCACAGGTCATTTGTCTGCCAGGCCCCTTAGTGCTTTGCAGGCCGTGGTCCCCAGTCACTAGCAGACAGGCCTTCCTGGCCCACTCCAGTCCTGGGGGTTCCCAGCTGGGGCCCTGCCCACTGCACCATCAGGGCTTGGTGAGAACCTGGCCCGCGAGACCGTGGTGTCTCTGGTGGCCCGGCCAGGAGCTGTGCCTGGACTGCAGCTGCCCCTTCCTTCCCCGCTGCTTCGGGAAGGAGTCCCCATCACCAGAGTGGATGATGGCGAAGGCACTGTCCAGGCGCAGGCTCCCCTTTGACTCTGACAAGTGTTTTTTTCACTGACTGCTCCTGTCAGCAGCCTCGACTGAGGCCCAGTGACCCCTAGCTTCTAAGTGGCACCGCCAACTGTCCAACCCTCAGGCTGCTCCCTCTCCCTCCAGAGCACATTTTTTCTTTTTCTTTTTTCTTTTTTATACCAAGGATTGAATCCTGGGGTGTTTACCCACTGAGCTACGTCCCCAGCCCTTTTTTATATTTTATTTTGAGACAGGGTCTCACTAAGTTGCTTAAGGTCTCACCAAGTTGCAGAGGGTGGCCTCGAACTTGCTAACCTCAAACTTGCTATCCTCCTGCCTCAGCCTCCCAAGCCGCTGGGATTACAGGTGTGCGCCACCGCGCCTGGCTGCTTGTTTTTTTTTTTTCCTGGACATAATTAATCTTTGAGGCTTGAATGCAGTATGAAATTTGAAGAGTCCCAAAGGGTGTAAGATGACAAGTCTCCCTCCCACCCTGCCCTGTAGCTACCCAGGGGCCTTCTACTGAGGTGGCTATTAGCAGTGGCTGTCTCAACCTTTTTTAGGAAACCCCTGGCACACAGGTCGCCTCTGAACAGCAACAGGAACGCTCTTGACTTTGCGACACACTGACTTGCCCTGGAGCTGCTCTGTGCCAGCAGTTCCTCCCCTTGTCACAGTCCCCATTTCATCCTCTGACTAGAGAAAGCGCCCAGGGCACCAGGAACCCACAGCAGGTCAAGGCGACAGAGACGTGGCCTTTGCCTCTCAGCCTGGGCCCGAGTGTTTTCCTCAGGCACCCAGAGCACTTGGGGTTCTGGGCTGCGCGTCTCCTGGCTCCTCTGCCCTGCCGAGCACCCATCTTCTCAACCCTGGGGCGTGTCATCTGCACATGGGACTGAGTCCCTCTCAGCTGTGTCCCGTGACAGGGACCCACAATGTTGGCACCTTTGCCTCTACAGTTCCACCATGTCCCCCTGTATCTGGAGTGGGCTCCAGTTGGCGTCTTCTCCAGCACAGCCCCTCAGGGGAAAGAACCTCAAAAAGTATCTGCGGAAAAGAACATGGTGGAGCCAGAAACCGGTAAGAACAGGTCAATGTCCTGGGCGGGCAGGCGAGGGATGGGCGGAGACCCAGGAGCTGTTCAGCAGACCGCTGCTTTATGGCTTTGTTCATCCACAGACCAGCGGGTCTCGGTCTCTGATTATGCAAGTGTTAAAACATCCCTGAAAAACAGCATCAGAGCCGGGTGATGGGGCCCACGCCTGTCACCCCAGCAGCTCAGGAGGCTGAGGCAGGAGGATCCTGAGTTCAAAGGCAGCCTCAGTGAGACCCTGTCTCTAAATACAATACAGAATAGGGCTGGGCTGGGGCTCAGTGGTGAAACACCCCTGATTGCAGTTCCTGGTACCAAAAAAAAAGAGATCAGAATTATGAGTGCAACGTAATGTAGCATGTTTTCAGTTTGTCAGCTAACGGTTAAGGGAAGAAAACCTAGATCTCTTCATACCCAGAAGAGCCCATGAAAGCTCCTAGCTCCATAGGTGGCTGAGGGGCTGGGGGGGGAGTATTCTTGGAGTGACTTAGTGCCCCCTGTGTCCAGCGACTGCACAGGCAGGAAAGGAAAGACCAATGTGTGTCCCCAGCCACAGGGGTGCCAGCCCCCTGGGTTCCCCCTCACAGTGGGGCATTTGAGGCAGGATGAGGTTTTCCTTCAGGACTGTGGTGCACACTGCAGGTCATGGCTTGGCCCTGGCCCTCGCCCCTCAGGATGCCAAAACCTGAGTCCCTCCCCGTCCCCCAGCTGCCCCTAGGAGACAGGCAGCTTCCCATGGAACCACGTAGTCTGGAGACCACGACCACGTCTTAGAATAGACACCTGGAGGGAGGTTCTGAGGACTGGGTTGTTTGACCCAGATGTTCAGATTTTACCTTCGGCCCACCCCCCACACAGGGCTTCCAGTTGCTCAGTTTACTAGGATAAGGATTTTCCTCTTAAAGATAGACCGTCTCTTGTTTCCCACCCTCGTTGTTCTCGTTTATTTACAAAAAATTAAAGTGTTTTACAGTTTAAAAAAAAAAAAAGTAGAGGAGGAGTCGTCTCTGGTCAGCCAGTGTCGGTTGGATTCTGCGGCCTTCTCTGAGCACAGGCCTTCCGCATGCCCGTGGCTCATGTCCACTCCCTGTGGGTCTTTAGGACTGGCCGTCTGTGCCGCGTGAGGTGACCGCTCCTCGTGGCTGGCTGCTGCCTGAGTTTGTTCCCACCAGAGGGTCCACTCCACAGCAGCATCTGCCTTGCTGACCACAGCACCCTGCGGAGTGCCAGGTCCCGGGAGTGACAGAGGGCAGAGTGGCACCTGCTCCCTGCCTGCTGGCCTGCCCTCCACGTCCTTCCACTCAGGTGCCACTGCTGGGGAACTGGCCGCCATGCTGGTGACGTGGGCAGTGCCGTCCTCGGCCCCCGCTCTGGGACTGGGCCGGCTGCATCCTCTCAGGCTGTTTCTGATCCTGACAGAGAGAGTGTTGCCCACGCACCCTCCTGAGGATGCGGGAGATGCAGCCTGCTGGCTACCGACACCCCCACGTGGTGGGAACACCCGTCTGTAACCGATGGCTGCTGCCCAGGGTGACCAAGACAGCCGTGGCACAACTGTCCCCAGCATCTCTCGGCTGGTCACAGGTGGTGTCAGAGGTGGGCCCTGGGGGCAGACAGGCTCTAGAGCATGAACAATGGCTTCTTGGCACCCGTGTGCAGACCCTTTCAGAATGCTCCTCTGTCCCCGGTCCCCCAGTTGGTTTTGAGGTCCTGTCCCCTTTCCTCAGGTCAATGTTGAGTGTCCTGACAGTGTCCAACCATTGGAGGGGCTGGCTTCTGCTCACTGGCTGACAGAGGAGGCCTCAGCCTGGATCTGCTCCAGGACATGGTGCGACGTCCACCCGCTGGGCTCACGTCACCTCCTGGGTCAGCGCCCTGAGCCCGTCTTTCTCTTCTGACCATGTTGCCTACACAACCCCCCGTCCTGGTCCCCTGAGCTGTGCCTTCTCCCCTGCCACTCCCCACCCCGCTCTCTGCCTGTTGTTCCAGATGTCATCTTCCCCAGGATGACAGGAGGGGGACCAGGTGCCATGTCTTGGGCTGGGCGGGACAGGAGGGCAGCTGTCTCAGCTCTGCTCAGCTCTCTGTTCTGGTCTCTAGGGAGGCGGCCGTGTTATCTTCCCACCACCAAGACCCGCACCTCCAGATAAAGGGCTCCGGGTTCGGGTCGGGGGAGGGGGGGTCCTGGAAAGCTGCTGGTGACTGATAACAACCCCACAGGCAGCCGCGGAAGCCCGGAGGGGGCAGCATGCACATTCGCTCCTGATTGTAATGAAGCCCGAGCCCTGGATCTGCCTGTGCGCCTCTGCTGGAGGCTCCTGCTGGTGGAGCTCCCATCCTGCCCCTGCCCTGCACCGTGTCCCCGCCCCTCAGCTCCCTTCCTGCACAGGCTCCTGGTGACAGCGACAGCAGACATCTGCTTGAGCTCAAAGCCACTTATTTTTTCCTTTTCTTCCGTCTCCTGCTCGAGGCCAGGAGCAGAAGTGCTTTGTTCAAAGACCTTCGGCTTCGTGCTCGGCCCTGGGCCATCTCTGCACCTCCCTGGCCCCCAGTGTGGCCTGCAGTGGGGTTTGGCCTGGTGGCTCGGGAACCACAGGTGGCCAACAGGGCCACTATTCACAGCATACAGAGGGCAAGGTTGCTGGCCTGCAGGGGAGGGGGGCAGGGCTCCCCGCCGACTTCCCGCTCAGAGTCGGGGACTGCAGTTTCCCCTGGCTCGCAGCATGGGCGGAAGGGTTGATGTTCACAATGGAGCATCGCTTCTCAGGTGTCACTCAGGTCCAGGTGCTGTCGCGGTGGCCTCCGTATTAGAGCTGACGGTCATCCTGCGAGCAGGCACTTGGGGCTGGCCTCATTCATATGTGGAGAAAGGAAACCCAGAGGTTAGTGACCTCCCAAAGCCAAGCCCATGGAGAGAGCTGGGATGTGCCCCAAGGCTCTGAGCCCTGCAGCGTGAGGAGTGTCCACTCTGAGCCAGTCCTGGGGTGGCATGGGTGACTGGGTCAGACTGGGTCCTACCTTCAGTGAGCTCCCCTTATAGTTGGAGACCCAGATGCAACCAGTAAGGAAAGTGGTTTCGGGATAGGCTAGGGGCTCTGGAAAGAGGACTCCAGGGGGCCATGGTGGCTACTTGAACTAGTGTGCCCAGGAAGAGCTGTCTGAGGGCAGGATGTTTGGGCTGGTACCTGGCAAGCAGGAACTAGGCCTGGAAGGACAGAGGGAGCGAGTGCAAAGGCCCTGTGGTCAGCATGGGTCTGGCAGGCTTGGCAATCGGTAGAGGCCAATGAGGTTGATATAGAGTGGGGCAGAGGAGATGGGTCAGGGATGAGGTTCAAGGAGCAGGACTGAGGGGCCACTGTCAAGGAAGCCACTCTGTTGTCCAGTGGCAGGTGATGGTAGCCAGGCATGAGAGTGAAGTAGTGGACACTTGTATTTAACAGCTCAGCATAGTGCAGGGGTGTGTTAATGAGTGTGTGTGTGTGTGTGTGCATGTGTGTGAGTGTGTGCTTCTACTCCAAGTTGTAGGAAAGGGTGCGAAGGCAGCGCAGCTCCACCACCAGCCCAGGCTGTGTAGGTAGTGACAGCAGGGTGTGGCCAGTGCAGCTCACTGTGCTTTCTTCCCTGCTTGCCTTGCCAGCCCATGCCGCCCCACCTCCTCTCTAGGCCCCGCCCCTGCTGTCTCTAGGCCCCGCCCCTGCTGTCTCTAGGCCCCGCCTCCTCTTTTCTAGGCCCTGTTTTTCAGCAGATCTCTAAAGACTGTGAGGCGCTCTTGTAGCTCTTCCAGACTCTGGGGCAGTTCCATGGGCAGGGATGTCATTGTGGGCATGAAGGTTCAGGGAGGGAGTGGACGTCCCTGGAACTGGCTGGGCCTGTGTGTTGGGAAAGGCCGGGCATGTGGAGGCTGGCCTTCATCTCCCACCAGCTGCTCTTCCCAGGGTCAGGCAGGAGTGTTTGTCCACTTTTTAGAAGGTGGTGGAGGCCCAGGCCAGGCGAGCCACACTGGCCCAGGGGGCAGACAATAGCCAGCCTCAGAGTCCCCTCCTGGGCTGGGGCTGAGGGCAGCTGACCTGCCAGGGGAGGGACCATTCCTGAGTGTCCCTTCCTGAGGTGCTGACTGACCCCAGCCTGCATCTCAGCTCTGTCACTAAACCCTAGCATCATGCCCCGGGCGGTGCCTGTGACCATCTCGCTGAGCCCTTAGAAGCCAGCCAGCTGCTGCTCCTGGGCCAGGCCTCAGGAGGAGTCTACTTGGCCGTGCCGAGGGCCCTGGGCTCCTCAGGTTGTCCCTGTGAGGCTCCCAGTGCCTGGAACCAGGCAGGCCCCTGGGACAGAGGGGGAAGGGTCGTGAGTCTTTGCCGAGGTCTCTGAACAGAGAAGGCACCAGCTCCTGCCTGGTACAGAAGCCATGTGCCATTGGGTGGCCAAGATCGCACACAGGGTTTCCCATGTTATTCTGAACTTTCCACTTGTCTTGGAAAGTCTGAGCCTCAGCCGTACTGAGTTGACCTCCCCAGGTGGCACAAGCTGGCAATTGCCAAGAAGGGCAGTGGTGCCAGGCCCAGGTGACAGCCACCCAGAATCTGGTGCTGTGGTGACCAGCAGCCGTTCTGGAGTCTGACCCTGCTTCTGCGCATGCGTCTGCGCGAGCTCACGGGTGTTCTCGTCAGCGCTGGACAGATCTGACTGGTATCACGCTGTGCCTTCTCGATTGTCTTGATTTTTAGGTCACAGGCATCTTCTGTGTCCTTCAGCATCCTCAGCAACATGGTTTTAAATGATGACATATTATCTCAGCCTCCGGTGGCCTTAGTAGTGTCCTGTTTGTGACTGTGTAGTGGGCCCTCCTGTTTTTCACAATCACAAAGTACTCTGAATTCCTCGCATATGGATGAAACCCCTCTTATGTGCATGTATGATCAAGGGGTATTTTAAACCCACTTTCAAGGGGTTTTAGAATCCTCTGAGTTTCCCATTCTGTAATTCTTGAAAAGCTTCAAGATGCAGTTTAGTTTGAAAGTTCACTAGGTGCTGTTTTTTAAAGTAAAAATAGCATCTTGATTAGGTTCATGGTTCAAGAACATAGTTTCCATAACAGTATATTTTGAAGTTCAAGTTAGGGTGGCCTAGTCCTATCTAGGGCTCATAGTTTTGGATTTGCGTTTCATATTCTCTTTAAAACGGGCAGGAACCAAGTGCGGTGGTGCACGCTTGTGACCCCAGTGGCTTAAAAGGCTGAGGCAGGAGGATCTCAAGTTCAAAGCCAGCCTCAGCAACTTAGTGAGGCCCTGAGCAATTCCGTGAGACTCTGTCTCTAAATGAAATACAAAAACACGTGTTGGGGATGTGGCTCAGTGGTCGAGTACCCCTGAGTTCAATCCCCAGTATCCACAAAGTAATAAAATGAAACGGGGCAGACACAGGACATTGTTTCCCCTCGCGCTCTCGTTGCTGAAACTGGCACAGTCCCTCCTGCAGCGCCCACGGAGCACGACCCCTTGGTCCAGCAGGTCCTGTGCTTTGGCCCTGGCTCTGCTGGGCAGACGTGGCTCACTGGGCTGTTTGTTTGTTGTTGGGGTCAGTGACTGATGGTGAGGCCCCAGACGGTGAGAAGCCAGCGGAGGAAGGAGCAGAGGCCCCCACAGCCAAGACAGAAGAAGAGGAAGAGGAGGACGAGGAGAGCCTTCCCGGGTGCACTCTGTTCATTAAAAACCTCAACTTCAGCACCACGGAGGAGACACTGCAGCAAGTGAGTATCTGCCAGACGAGGGCGGAAGCGGGTGGTGGGCAGCTCCCATCTGCAGATGCAGGCGCTACGTCCGTCCTGCTGTAGGCACAGCGCTGGGGGCGGGACGCCAGCCCTTCTGCATGCCACCCTGGCAAACCGCACCTGGCACAGGGCAGATGCTCCCCAGATTCCCTTTAAGGAACGGCTGGCAGCTGGCTCATAGCCGGGAACTTGTCCTGGAAAGGATGTCGGCCAGAGAACGGAGATAATTGGTTCTGTTCCTTTCAAAAGGTCCTTTGAGCTGTGAAATCTGTGGAGGTTTAAGCAGTGTCCACCAGGTCAGCCTCCTGCCGTGACTGTCCCTGGGCCAGTTAGGAGGTCAGCCATGGCGGCAGAGAGGCCAGGCCTAAGCAGGCAGCGTCAGAGGGGCCGCAGTCCGCCTCTCAGCCACCAACATCCACGCCTGGCTTCGCCTCTAGAGGTGCAGCTAGCAGTGTCTCAGGCAGGTGGTCTTGAATCTCTCGGGCCAGCTGTGGTCCTTGTGATGTCACAGTCACTCCCGGCGTGGTGTGAGACATCAGGGATCAGCATTTCTCAGAGATGTGCAAACAGCAGCTCCAGCATCCTCAGAATTAAAGGCCCTGGAGCTGAAGGCCCAGCCAGGACCATCTAGTTCAGATTGGAGACTGAGCTTCAGAGAGGCTGCTTCACTGTCCTGAGGTCACACAGCTCATTAGAAGTACACCCAGCGCACAGGACTCCTGTCCAAGCACCTGAGTGTAGAGCCGTGATTGGGGTCAGTCCTCTCGGGCCTGGATCCTGGCCTCACTCCTGCCAGTGGGCGACTCCTGCAGTCTGTCTGTGCCTAGGTCATGAGACATGAGTAGAAGGTTCCCTTTGGGTGGTTTGAAGGTCTGACTGGGACAGTGAGACCCTGCAGTACAGGGCCCCATGCTTGACGCACCTGTCTGCTGCGAGTGTGTGCATTGGGGTCCCCACTCCTTCTGCTCCCAATCGCTCGCCTGGTGGACGGTACTGAGGGCCTCCTGTCTTTGGTCCTCAAGATGCAGGCAGAGCCACGTGGGACTGGCCCCAGCCAGGCCCCAGGGAGACAGAAGGGAAAGGGAAATACAGGGTGGAATGTGACTTAGAGGGTTTTTGTTGTTGTTATTGTTTGTTTGTTTTTTGTTGTTTTTTAATTATTTTGGCTTTAAGCACAGAGGGCAGTGAGGTCAGGCCTGGGGTCAGTAGGCTCCATGTGTCCAGACTGACACCCAGATTCTGCAGCAAACCCCTCAACGGCTCCGTGCCCCAGTTCTTCCTTCTATAAGTGGAGCAAGAACCAGCCTAGCTGCCGCCTCGGGAGGCCTGGGGGACTGGCCATCACTCACCCCCTCAGAGTGACCCAGGTCTCCACAAGGCAAACTTGGGAGGACAGTGTTGGGCAGGGCTGCGTGGTGGCTCAGAGCCTGGCTGGCAGCCGAGGTCCCCAGGCCCTCAGCCACCCAGCTGAATGTGCCTTTGGGGTAACTGGATGGGTGGGTGGGCTGGGGGCCAGGAACAGGCCAGCGCACCGGGAGCGGCACCTGGTGGCAATCTGCATGCCCCCTGCTCCCAGTTCCTGCGATGGGCGCGCAGCCCATAAGGAGCTGCGCCTATGCGGGTGGCGGGAGGGCCTGGGAGTGCAGGGGCTGCGTGTTCCTCTTTCCAGGTGTTCTCCAAAGTGGGGGCCGTGAGGAGCTGCTCCGTCTCCAGGAAGAAGAACACAGCAGGTACCCTGTTCTCATGGAAGGATGCGGTTCTGGGAGACCACACCTGGGGGTGGGGGCAGGCTTGTGCAGAACAGCACTTCCTCTGCTGGAGACCCCTGCTGTGCTGTTGGCGAGGTCCCTGACCCGGGCTCTGAGTCAGAGCCTTCGCAGGCCCTCAGGTGGTCCAGAGCTGAGTGCGTGGAGGGCAGCAGCAGCACCCATCAGCACCCAAGGCCTTCCTTGTTCCCATGCCTTGGCACCCAGGAAGTCCTCAGGCATAGCAAAAAGGATGGATTGTGGGCTTTCCCCTTAGTTCTAAGGGAAATAACCCCGATGTGGAACTTCTAGAACAATCCACCATGTCGGTAATCCTGCATCTCTCTGACCAGTAGGTAATGGGCAGGAACAGGCCACCTAGCCCCTCTGTCAGCCCTGGACCTTGTCCTGACGCACTTGTCCTCTGCCCACGTGTTGTCCAGCCCTGAGGCTTCAGAGCATGAGCAGGGACGGTCCTTTGTCCTTTTCACAGCCATGCAGTCCCGTCCAGCAGCCCTTGGCCTTGCAGAATTGGTGGGTGCAGAATTGGTGGGGTGCAGTGTGAGTCAGCCCCATACCGTCCTGGGTGCCTGTGCGTGTGGCCACAGTGACTGCTGATCCTTCATTCCCAATAGGCCCTGGGCCACCAGGCAGTGGGCACCCAGGACAGTAGACCAGAGGAGATGCGGTCCCTGTCCCGAGGCACCCGCAGTAGCCGGGGGACATGTGAGCTGGTGGCTTCAGCGCAGGAGGCTGTAGCAGGAGGGCCATGGTAGGACTGTGGTCTCCAAGTCAAACTGGGGACTGGAGGCAAGGAGGCCAAGCAGCCTGGTGGCCGAGGCTGAGGCGGGAGGTGCCCTGGAAAGGGAGGCAGACTCCCGTTGAGTAGTGGCTTCTGTGCCCGGCAGAGGTTTGGACTGTGGCCTGCTGGGCAGCCACCAAGAGTTTTAGCAGACACTTCTGTGTCATAGAAGTTAGAGTCCCTTGCCTCCGTCTGCTCAGGCTGCTGGAGCAGAGGGCCACGCCTGGGGCCTTCATCGGCAAAGACGGCCTGCCTTAGGGTTCTGGAGGCCAGAAGCCCAAGGCCAGGCATTGGCAGCAGTGGCTCCTTTCAAGGGCTGGGCGGGGAGGGGCGGCCTGTCCAGCCCTCCCTGGCTGTGATGGCGTCCCTGTGCCCACAGGGGGCTTTCCTGTGTAGGCCTGTCCTGGGTTCCATCCCCACACACCTTTTAAAGGGCACCGGTCGCTCTGGCTTAGGGCCCACCCCAGTGACCTCGATTGACTTGATTATTGATGCAAAGAGCTGGTCTCAAGTGAGATTCTGACACCTGGGGTCAGGCCTCCAGTGCAAGACCAAGGGGCCCACAGCTCCGCCCCTGTCATCCCTGTTCTTGAGCATTTGAGACCAGGTTGGGACACGAGGAAGGGCAGCTAAGTGCCACATTAGTGGTAGGAGGGTTGAAGCCTGGGGATTCCAGGAGAGGAGTCGTCCCTGAAGTGCAGCAGGTAGATCAGACTGGACGCACCGTCCACTCTGTGCAGGCTGCAGGGATACTGCCTGTCCCCGAGGTGCTGAGCCACGTTGGGGCGGTTCTTGGCGTCCCCTAGCGCATCCTGCCCTCGGTTCCTGGCCCTCTGGATGCCAGCGCAGGCACAGGTCTCAGTGCAGCAGAGGTCGAGGTGGGAACTGCCAGCCAGGCTCAGGGAGTCCCAGCCTTTTGGGACCCACCAGAGTGCCCCAGCCCACAGAGTGCAGTGTGCAAGGAACAAAGCACCCTGTGAAGTGCAGGGAGGAGGGGGGCAAAGACGCAGGGAGTGTGTCAGAAGGTCAAGGGGCAGTGGGATACCTTGTACATCAGTGCCCTTGGAACCCCGCATGTGTGTCACATACGCTCACACACACACACACACACACATACACACACAGTCAGAGCAGATGCCGCTCTGCCCCCATGTTGTGCTGTTGGGCAGGCTGGCGCTCCTGCCCTCCCACCTCGGAGTGGGGAGCCAGGTGGAGCCATGGCTCTTGGCCCTCCCCAGGGGAACTTTCTATCTGAGACCCGGAGCCAGATGGGAGGGTCCAGAATCCCCGCCAGGAGGCAGCCCTGGGTGCCCAACAGCGTGTGGGCTCATCCCGTGCACTAGGTGTGGCGGGGTTGTCCTGGTGGAGGGCCCCCTGGTCACCGCAGTGGTCATTCCTGTCAGTCCCGCTCCCTCCCGAAGGTGGGATTCTATGATGAAGTTAATCCTCACGTCAATCATCAGTTAATTAATAGTCCTGAGCCTCAGGTGGCGGGCTCAGTGGGACAGCTAATCGGATGGCGGGCCGGGAGCGGAGCCGTGGGGTGGGGGAGTGGAGGTACTTGTCTCACTCTGTGCCCCACTGGCTGGGGGCTCCCCCTCTTTCAGGGGTGCTGCTTTCCATGGGGTTTGGATTTGTGGAGTACCGGAAGCCGGAGCAAGCCCAGAGAGCCCTCAAACAGCTGCAGGTAAGTGGGCCTCCATGGGGGCCTTGGCAGGCGGCTCGGGCTATTGGCCTCTGCCGCTGGGGTATCGCGGGCGCTCACGTCCTGCTGGCCCGTCCTTCAGGGTTCTCCAGGGACCACGCCCAAGAGAATGAAGAGCCTCTCACCCTCCATGGTCACTGTCCTTCATCTGTTCCACTCACACTCCTTCCCTGCGGGCCTGGTTTCTGCCAGGCACCGGCTAGGCTCGGGAGACCTTCTTTCTGGGGGGAGACAGGCAGTGGGGCCATGAACAAAAACAAAAGACCAGATTGTGACAAAAGCTTGGATACGGGGGCTGGGGACATGCTCAGTTGATAGAGTGCTTGCCTCGCATGCACAAGGCCCTGGGTTCAATTCCCAGCACCACACACAAAAGGCTTGGATAAAAATAACTTGAGAAGTGGGGCTACCTAAAGTCGTGTGGGCGAAGGGGGCCTCTCTGAGGAGCAGATGGTTGAGCTGACCTACTGACATGAAGTCAACTGCACAGAGACCTGGAGGGAAGGCTGTGTAGGAGCCGAGAACAGCAAGTGCAAAGGGCCTGTGGCATGGACTCTGAGGTTAGAGTAGGCAGAGTGTGTGGTGGGGTCAGGTGAGGTGAGAGGTGTCCAGGACTAGGTTCACAGGCCCTCTTAAAGTACTGGAATCCAACCTGAAGGCTGAGCAAGACTCTGGAGTGTTTGGAGCACACGGAGAAGGGTCTCGTTTGTCCTCTAGGACGGTCTCCAGCTACTGTGTGCAGATGGGATGAGAAGAAGGGGAGCAGGCAACCCTGAGGTCACCAGAGCTCTGTAGCCTGGACCAGGGTGGGGGCAGCAAAGGTGGTGGAAGGGGCTGAGAGAGTTTGGACAGATCCACATCCTGTGCCACCGCCTGGGCCCAAGTCCTGGGGTAAATGGAACCCTTGGCAGGAGGAGGGAGCTGTGGCCGCAGGGAGCACATGGCCTGGGATCTCTGCCACCCCCTGGGGAGCCGCTGTCGCTGGCAGTGACCACAGCTCCTTCGCTGAGGCCCACGTGCCAGGGCCGGGACCCGGAACAGCACTTCCTGGCCCTTGTCCTGCTCCTTGTTTGGGACAGGGAGCGCCCGCCTTGTCTTACCTTGGACTCGGCGCCTCAGACCCAGATCCTCCTTCCTCTCGCAGTTCCTGAGGTTCTGCTCGGCTCTGTGGCCCACAGACGCACACTGCTCGGCCCCAGCCGTGAGCACACGTGTGCACCTGGCCACCCGGGATCATGTCCACAGAGCTGTGTGGGCTGTTTCCTGGGAGACTTGAGGACTTGCAGGGTGGTCTTGCTCAGGCGCCAGCTCCGCCTTCAGGGATGAAAGCCGCACTGCTTCAGGTGCAGGCGCTGGGGCTGGGTTTTCAGGGCTGTGGACACAGCAAGCGGATAGGCCCTGTGCCCTTGAGTGCTGTAAAGGTCAGGGCTGCCACTCGGCGCAGGAGACATCATGAGCCTGGGTCTCTGTGGCCGCCAGCTGCTGAGCCATTTTGGGGAGGCCCCTCTGTGCCTGCCATCACCACCCCTCTGCCAGGGAGCAGGCGGTCTCCCACCCTCTAGCCACGGCCCTGCTTTGGGGACAGGCAAGGACACGGTGAACAGTGAGGACAGGGGATGAGCCGTGCTGTCTCCTCTCCAGGGTCACATCGTGGACGGCCACAAGGTGGAAGTGCGGATCTCAGAACGAGCCACCAAGTGAGTCTTCAGTGCCTCCCCTTTCCTATGACGCCCCTGTTCTTTCTGTCCCTGGAGCTGGCCCCTGAGGGTGTCTCAGCCCTCCACGTCCCACGTCCCTTCCACCTGCCCCCCCGCCCTCTAGGGTTCTTCCTGATTGGGGTTGGGGGTCTTCGCCACACCTGCTCCCTGCTGAGCTGGGGCAGTGCTGGTGACTTGGGGGATGTCTTATGCACCTTCTTTGAACCCCGGGGATTACGCGCCACTGGAGGTTGGCCAAACCTCTCTGGAGGCCGTGGCCCTCGCCCTTCTGTGCTCTGGGGTGGCCTTCCTCGGGCTGCACAGCGGTGCCAGAGGCCTCAGCAGTTCAGCAGGTGGCAGGTGGAGACAGACGGGTTGGCCCAGTGACCCAGGTATCCGGAGGGCGAGGTCTGCTCCTGGGCGTCCGGGGCACACGTCCCAGTGAGCCAGCGCGCTCTGTGGCTCCTGACGGAGGTGGCACGTGTCATGTGCCCCTGCGAGCCATTATCATCAGTGTCACCCACCTGCCTCCAGTGTAAAACCTACTGCTGCCAGCAGTCTGGAGCTGGGGGAAGGCATTTATTTGGTGATTTCCAGCAAGTTGGTCGTTTATTGTGGACGCCTGTGCTGGGCCTCTTTAGCCAGAGGAGGGTTGGGTCGGGGCCCAGGAGGCTCGCAGGGTTCCTGAGGGGGACGTGGGAGCCCAGACCTGGAGCCCAGAGCCTCAGGTTCTTATCCAGGGACCCGCTACATGGGTAGGGGACTTGGCCTGTAGAGTACAACGTGATACCCCCAGGTGGCGCCTCCAGCACGCGCCTTGCCTGTGAGCACCCAGCCGGGTGGCCAGTGCCTCGTCCCCAGGGCCAGCCCGAGGCAGCCTCGCCAGCTGCTGCAGCCTGGCTGATGTTCACAGTCATTTTTATTCAAAGCTGTGTCGAGCCCTGTTCCCCAGAAGCTGTCGGCCCTGGATGGCATTTGCTTGTGGGATTTGCATCCTAGGGACACTGCTGCTAGAACCTCCTGCCTTGGAGGTGCCCCGAGTCCTGTATCTGGCCTGGAGTCGTTTGCCACGCGTGGCGGATGGCGAAGTGCACTGGTCATCCCTTGCTGCGTGACGGACACCCTGGGACCCGCAGCTTCTGCAGTAGCAGGTTCTGTAGTCAGGGCTCGGCAGCCCTGCTGGATTCTGGCTCAGGTCTCTGCTGGGGCTGCAGTAGGTGCCACCTGGGTCACAGCCCCTGGAAGGCCCACTAGCACTCAGGACTCGGCCTCTGAGGTGGTCCACACAGGGCCATGGACGGGGCTTAGGCCCTCACCTGGGGCTTCTGCCCTGGACAGCTCGAGTGTCCCTCCAACGTGGTGGCCGTCTTCCCCAGGGCAAGGTCCAGGAGAGAGCTGGAATGTTGGCCCCAGGTGACCTGTACCCTCCCTTCCCCTTCAGGCCAGCCCTGAACTCTGCCCGGAAGAAGCAGCTTCCCCGGAAGCAGACCTCATCCAAGATCCTGGTGCGGAACATCCCCTTCCAGGCTGACCGCAGGGAGATCCGCGAGCTCTTCAGGTGAGCGGCGCCGCAGGAGGGTCGTGGCCGGCTGAGCAGGGCGGCCGCCAGCTGGGCTGTCCCCGCGAGCCAGCACTGTGAGGTTCAGAGGTCATCTTCTGGATTGCCTTGATTCATGTCCTGTGACCTTGGAAAAGTCAAAACATCTCTCTTGGATGGGGGGGCAAGCCAGTGGCCCCCTGGCCATCCCGCAGCTGCAGGGTGCAGGTCAGCATCACTGGTGACCCCAGGCACCTCTGCTGAGGCTTTGCCCGGAGCTGGGTCACCAGACACTGGCCTCTTGACCAGAGCTCTCAAGGCGTCCTCCTGTCTAGCCGGGAGTGGACCCCTGGGCTCAGTGGGTCCTCACAGGATGCCCACCCGAAAGGCAGCAGACCACCTGCCTCCTGCTAGCACAGAGCCAGGTGGGGAGGAGATAGCGGCCAAGTGGGTGGGGGCTGAGGGGACGCTGGTGGCCCACACTGATGCCACACAGGAGTCTGGATTTCAGACCAGGTCCTGTCGCATTTGGAAGGAGGACCCGGCCGTCCAGTCTTATGGGGATCTAGCATGCTGCACAGAGCAGAGCCATCTGCGAGAGTGACCACTGTGTACCCTGCGTCCAGACTTGGCTGGGGTCTAAGAGCGCTTGGGGTCTGCACCATGAGGGTGACCATGTAGGGTGTTCTTCCCAGGCCTCCGTCTTTCAGCCTCTGTTGGTCACATTTTGTATGAAGATAGGAGAGCAAAGTTCCTAGAATCACCCTTTAGCGTCTGGCAAGGCAGACCACCTTCAAGAGGAGACAAGGAGTGACCTGTGTGACTGTGCCCTCAGGGCCCGCTGTGGGTGGGGATCCACTCCTGCTCCCGCCCACCCTCCCTCATCTCCAGGCTCTGCTGGCTGGAGCTGGTCTGGGCAGCTGGTCTCCCATGGTCCTGGTGCCCTGCCTGGCAGGATGGGGTCACGACTCGGGGGGTTATTTCCCTGCATGTGGAAGGAGCTCGAGTTCGTGGGTATGGTGAGGGCCGTGGCGCGTGCGTCTGCGTGTCTCCACTGCTTCTGTTTCTTGAAGAGTCCAATTTAAGACCCGCCGGATCAGCACAGGCTACTGAGAACAGCATGTGTTGATCAGAAAATAATGTCCCTGGGAACATGTCCTCTTGGCTCCGTGGTGCATGTAGGTGAAACTTATCCAGGGGAACAAAGGCGGGTGGCAAGGGAAGGACTTCTTTGATCTCAAGCTCCGTGTCTATTGTAGGAGACCAGGACTTAGTGTCCCCTGAACATAATTACAGGGTCCCCTCCCTGCATTGTCCTGGTGGAGTTTCCCAGACCTGGGAACCAGGCCCTTCCCTCTCCCGGCTCCCTCTCCTGGCCTCCTGGGTGGCACTGGCTGGTGGTTTGAGGCAGTTCTGAGTGGCGGACAGCAGGGGTCGCTGTGAGCCTGTTCAAGGACTGAGGCTCCTCCAGGGAAGCCCCAGGTCTCAGACAAAGCCACCGGCCAGCAAAGGTCACCTGCCAGGGGAGGACCTCAGGACCGTGGGACAGTCTTGTGCTCTGCATCAGGCTGGTTCTGCAGGCTGCCCTCCCAGGTGTAGGAAGAACCACCAGCCCCCGTGTGGCACGCTCTCGATATTGTGTCTATGCCCAGCGCCTTCTGTGCACCTGTCCCCCTGTGCCACACGCAGCCCTGTGAGGGAGGATCGGCCACCGTCCCCTACACCCTCAGAGAGACTGGAGACGAGGAGGGTAGTCCTGCCTGGGACCCCACCACCATGACGGCTGAGGGTTTCAGCTGGTCTGACCCAGAGCCAGGCTGGGAAGGTTCCTCTCTGCCACCCTTTGTCTTCCTCCCGGGTCTGGAAGGGTTGGTCTGAGTGGGGACGCTGTGCCTCCACCATCGCGTCGTTTTTACCAGGTGCCGTGTGGGGCACCACGTGCCACTGTTTCAGGCAGCCCCAGGCCCTCCACGGCCCAGAGCCTATGGAGACTCGGGAGGGAGCCCATGCAGCAGGCTCCCCAGCCCCAAAGTCCTCAGCTGGGCCCCCCAGGGCTCTGCCCTCTGCACTTGACCACGCTGTGCTCCCACCCATGAGTAGTCCATCCTTGGTGATGCCCAGACGGGCGCCAGAGGCCCTGCGGACCCTCACTTCCTTGGGGTCATTGTGGGCGACTCAGGGACTGCTGTGGGAAGCTCAGAGTCCACACACCTTGGAGCAGGCTGGGCAGAGCGGCCCCACCCCCTGCCCGGTCACTGGCTTCCTGGGCCTCGGTTTCTCCTGGCTTCAGACCATGCAGAGCTCATGACGCAAGCGCCATGGTTCCCGATGGTGCAGGGGCGACCTGGTTGTCCTGCGTGCTGGGCCAGGCTAGGGGACTGGGCTGTTTCCGTCCTCGGGTCCCGTGGTCATCAGAGCCTGTGGTTTGTCCTCAGCCCCATTTCCCAGTAGGGAAACCAGCTCCTGAGCCCAAGCCCTGCCCCCTCAGTCCTCAGGCACCTCAGACTGTCACCCTGCTCCTTCCCTCACTGCGTGGCCGCCCTCCTGGGAGCTGTTCAGAGGCTGAGATGAGATCAGGCACCTGGCAGGAGCAGCAGGCGGGAGGACCTGCCAACAGTGTCACCCAGGGCAGAGCCATAGGTGGCAGGACCGAGTCCTTCCCACTTGCCTCCCTCTCTAGTCACGTCCCACCCTCGTAGCCTCCTGAGCTGCCTTGGGTCAGGCTCTAGGGAACCTGCCCCCAGTTCTGCTGCCCCTGCCACCCGCTCAAAGGCACTTTAGTCACAGCTGGGGGCCCCAGACTCTGCAGGGCCCCAGCACACAGTGGCTTGAGCAGACTCCACCCCACAGCCAGAGCAGGGCAGAAGGGGCTTCAGCCCCCAGCAGGTGCCCAGAGACCTACGTTGCTTCAGATTCCTAAATAAGAAAGTAGGTTTTGTCCAGACGTCCCTGTCTGGTCCGCCATGTGCCCTTCCCTAGTCTCCACCTGAAAGTCCCCCAAGCGGAGAGGCTGTGGCCTGGGGGCATGCAGGGCAGGCTCTGGGGCCTCTGCCCTTGGGCACCAGCCCCTGTGCGCAGAGCTGAAGGGCTCACTGGACAGGTCTCGCTTCTGCCCATGTTTCACATGGTGGCCTTCCATACCAGGGCACTTGTGGGGATGGTGCTGGGACGGAGGTGGCTAAGACTGAGGGCACTTGGGAGGCCTCGGGGCTGGGCTGGGCATGTCCCCATGCTCTCGTTCATTGTCCCTGCAGCCCAGCGTGCTAGGAGTGCTGTTGGACACTAGTTCTGGCCGAGGCCCTGGCGCCAGCAAAGGTTCCTAGTGGCCCTCAATCCCTAGTGGCCTTCCTAAGGGTGGCCTTGCTTTGAGCCCTGGTTTCTGGAAGGCAGTGGTCTCCCTCTTCTAGGAAGGAGGTTCTGTGACACAGCTGGCCCCTGGGCAGGTGACCGCACGGCCACACAGGCTGTGGTTAGGGTTCTGCTCCGGCCGTCGTGGAATCCTCCGTTTTTGAACCAGGGCCTGGCCGTGCACCAGGCTCCGTAGGTCCCTTGGTCACCTCTGCCTGTGGCCCTGGAAGGATCGCAGCTCCCAACCCCAGCCGTTCCCTCTGCCCTGGGCTGTGTTTCCAGCTCTCAGGGCCTTGGTCTCCTCTCTGAAGAGGGAGGGGGAGCGTTCCTAGAGCAGGAGGCAGAGACCCAGCCAAGAGCTGCTGCCTGCACGCCAGCCCCAGAGCCCCCGCACAGGGCTGTCCCCCTGGCTGCAGGTGGCCGCCCCTGAGGAGCAGCTTGCTGTGGGCATCTGGGAGGGGGCAGCGTTCTCGGTGGGGTTGTGGGTGCTATAGAGTGTTCCGCATTGGAAGGGCCAGGTGACAGCTGCTGTCCTCCCCGTGTTCTTCCCTGTCATTTTACAGATGTGGAGGCTGAGGCCTGGGCACTCTGGGATCCCCAGTTACTAGCTGGTCACTGTAGGACCACAGCAGGAGCCCAGGTACCTGGGCTTTTCTGTACCCCTGTAGGCCCAGAACAAGGCTAACTAAGAAAGTAGGTTTGGTCCAGACATCCCTGTCTGGTCCGCCATGTCTAAGTCCTTTAGCCTCAATTTCTCCCCTCTCCCTGCCCATCCTCCTGTGAGGAGCCACAGAACACGGGGCTCTTGGGTCATGCAGCGCCCCACAGAGGCCGGGCATTGAGTCCCCAAGACCTGTGGTCTCTTGGGAAGCACTGTCCCGAGGCGGGCGTGGCTGGGCCCTCCGTGTTGACACCTGACACAGCTGCAGGGGGTGCAGGTGCAGGCGCCAGTCAGTGTGCATTCTGCATGGGTGTAGCCAGTGTCTACCCCGACGCTGGGTGTCACCTGTGCCCGCCCCACCCCATCCCCAGGAACAGCTTCGCTGTGGCTGATCTCCAGCTTCTTGCCTGCGTCTGTGTGGTTCATAAGTGGGTCACCGCTCGTCTGAGGGGCCCTCGGCCCTGCCCCAGGGGCTCCTCTCTGGTCTCCATTGCTAGCATTTTGGCCTCTCACATTTCTGGCTATTTCGGAGCAAGAACAGATGACGGGGGCAAGTGTGCCTGGCCCATGTGCAGGTCTCAGTCACATCTTTGGCTCGGGCGTCGCTAGGCAGGTGTGGGAAGGGGAGCAGGGTCAGGCTGGCCCAGGAGTGGGGGGCACGGCTTTATCACTCGTGGTTCTCTGCTCATGCCTCTGTGAGGGCCAGTGACTCACGAGGTTTCCAGACGCCGTGAGCCACGTGGACCCTGCGTCGGGTCTGTAGAACGCTTGCAGGCCCTTCACCCGGTTTTTAGAGTTCTCTTTTCTGGTTCATTTTCCTTCGGATCTTCTCATTACCAAGGTGATTTACGTGTCCTCGGTCCCAGTCCCGGGGATGTAGGCCGTGGGTCCCGTCCCGTGGGCAGCTTCTGCCACCAGGCGTCCTTTGATGAGGAGACTCTTCATTTTAACTTCATCACTGTCATTTCGTCTCCTGGTTGGGAGGCCCTGGCCTCCTCCCAGCCGCAGACCC